CAGGAATGTACTTTCTAGGCTTTGAACTGCATCTCTTGTGCCCCTGTCCTCCTGCAACCTTATAAGCAAGTTGTGTTGTCTGTAGCAGGGCACAGACAGGGTGAGACACCATCCTCAGTGTCCAAAACAACTGCTGGAGATGCGCAGCACGAGGGCAGCACCTGGGAGGCCACTGGCAGGAAGTGCTGTGCCCTTGTGTGTGGTGCTCTGACCTCCCTTCATCCCTGCTTCTTCACTGAAGAGCCCAAGAACTTCCCCTCCACCTTCACAGGGAAGCTTAAGGTTCACCTTTTTTGGAGAATTGACATGTGGTGTGATGGATACAGAGAGGATACTACACCTGGAGCTGGACATTGCCTTTAAATATCCTGCAGAATCTAGGCCTCAACTCAAAAGTGGGATTTTGCAATTTGTATTTAGGTCAAAAGACTCACGAGGAATACATATGTTAGAGGGGTAAAGAGAGCTTGAGAGCATACATCTGTGTTCTGTCATCTAGATAGTAGTCTCCTGGAATTGCAATGAAACACAAAATAGCTATCTTAATGCTACAGAGAGAGCAGCTCCCACTCCAGTACTCTACATTCAGTCCCAGTGATTGTAAACTGTTGTTCTTTGTTTTCCCACAGACCTTATTTTGAACTCAAGGCAAAGTACTACGTCCAACTAGAGGTATGTATGTAATTCAGAACCATCTGAAACTTTACTGCTTACAGTAAATACTGAAATTAGATCTAAAGTGCTCTGACAACTGTGCTGTGTTTCTGCACAAAGCCAGTTCAGTTCAAAACGTCTTGAGCAATTTGCTAAGCACATTTTAAAGATAAAAGACTGAGAGACTTTGTTTCCTTGTGTGAAGTAAGTGTTCGAACACTGCTGCTTACTGCCAGAGCTGAACAGTCTGGGATTGTCTTGGGCTTTGGGACCAAGTCCTGGGATTGGTTTGGTCTTTGGTGTTTCCTCCTCAGGCTGTTTAACTGTGCTTGGGGTGCTCTTTTCTGTTCACTGGTTGGGTGAGTTCATAAGAATCACTTTCGTTCCATTTGAGTGACTTCTGCTGCATGTGGCCCCCAAAAACTGGGAGCCGGCTCCTCTGAGTTGTAGTGTAGTGGCTGGTGCTGTAGGTGTGTGGGATGTGCACAGGGTCTAAAAGGAGCACATTGCCTTGCACTTTTGGCCATGGGCATGAGAAGGCTCAGTAGGAGCCTAGCTAAAGAAGGTTCCCATTCCTTGCCTTGGATGCAAGATATGTCCCACGCGTTTCTTGCGAGCCCTTCCCTGGTCTGAGGTGCAACAGCTCTCTCCATAAGCCCCAAAGACTCTGGTGCACACTTTTTCTTTGCTGGGATCTAGTCTTGGGCTGCCCTCTGCTCCTCTGTCTTGCTTGCCAGCCCGATAATCCCTGCTGGCAAGAGGCATCTTTTAAGAAATGCCCTTTTCCCCATGGGCAAAGGCCTGTTGTCTGGGGGCCTGTTGCTGTTCTGTGACACCTGCTCAGTGCCCTTCTGAAGTGGGGTGGTTGTGTAAAATACAAAAGACAGCACAGGCTGCTTTTACTGTACAGTGTAAAACAGAGTTAAGACAGCTGCAGATACATAAGCAAAGTTTTACCTTTGGGAGACAGGGTGAATGACACTTTTGCCTTTACTGTAGAATGGAGCTCTGTGCTCAGCCAGGGGCTGTCAGCAAACATCAGAGGCAGTCCCAGCCCTGGCTCCCATGGTGTGCCTTGCTGCTGTCTCCTTCACAAGTGCCACTGTTTGAGCTGGGGTGCTTGCGAATTATGAACTCTCCCATCACCTAGATACCAACCCTGGTTTATGCTAGCTTGCCTGAGCAGAGCCAAGTCCCATGGACACATAACTGAGAACTGCATGCTGTGTGTCATTTAACTGTCTTCCTTGTTAGCAACTGAAGAAAACAGTGGATGATCTACAGGCAAAACTGGCCCTGGCAAAGGGAGAGTATAAGACTGCCTTGAAAAACCTGGAGATGATCTCAGATGAGATTCACGAGAGGAGACGGTCCACTGCCATGGGGCCCCGAGGATGTGGCGTGGGTGCTGAAGGGAGCAATACCTCAGTGGAAGACCTGTCAGCAAGTAAACCGGAGTCGGACACCATCTCCAGTGAGTACAGAGCACTCCCATGCCTGGGAATGTGAATATCCCATCAGCATCATAGAGCAAACCACTGAGGATGTGAGCAAGTGATTGCTCTGTGTATTCTGCAGTTTGAAATTTGCTGGCTGTTGTGACTGTTGGAGTTGATTGTATTCCTTAATAGCCAGTTTTCAAAGGGAAATGAGTTGAAGTGCAGCAGCTGCTCCCTTAGCATCACTGCTGGTTTTGTAGAGTGCTGTTACAAAAGGACAAAATTAATGCACTTCAAAGTGTACTTTCAACTTTTAAGCCAGTGATGCTGCTGGTGGTGACTTGCCCAGTGGTCACAGGAGGTGGCAGATCATTCAGCCAGGTTGTCGAGGCAGCAGACTGTTTGGGAACAGACCTCTGGGATCAAGCACTTGTCTTGCAGTGTTGGACCTGTGGCAGGGGGACTAAAGTTGTGCCTATAGTAGTACAGAGAGGTGTGATGCTCACCCAGAAGAGGTATAAGGATAAGCTCCTTTGCACTGCAGGATCTTTTGCCAATATGTGATTTTGGCAGAACGCGTGTGCTGCGAACAAGGGAAGTGAAGAAGCAGCAATGTGCTAATGCAGTGTACTGGGAGGCTCTGTAGGAGAGACTTTTCTCTTGGGTAACAGCAGCAATCACCGAGCGAGCTCCAGGCCTGTGTAACAGTCGTGGTTTAAACCCAGCCAGTAGTTCGGTACGATGCAGCCACTCACTCTGCAGGGAAAAGTCAAGGTCAGGGTTGCAGGAATTCATAACTACACAACCCCAGTTCCCAAAGGCTGAGCGTACAGTTCCCTCATAGACACTGGTGTGTACCGGTGCCTAGGTTCTATAGGTCTGTGGTACAGCCCATCCGTGCCATGGGAGCTGGGAGGCAGCCCTGGGCTGGCCTCCTTCCTCTGCAGGGGCAGGAGCTTTCATACAACATACTAGAGCTCACTCAGTACTGGGCAGCTGGGACCACAGTTGGCACAACAAGGAGTGCAGTGTCGGGGACAGCTGATGCAGTGAGGTTTTCGTATGGCTGCGTATCTTCTGCCACCCTGAAGTCCCAAGGTTGGGCTTTTCTCAGTCAGATCTTTGGATACCCACAAGGCCCCCCCAGCTTGCACTGAAGGCCTTCCAGGAGCCTCATGTATAACTGAGTTGAGGGTTTTCTTGTGCTGAAAGGTGTTCAGGGGCGCAGGCTCATCCCTCTTGTTGAATTGCACAGCCTGACAGAGGTGGAAGGACTCCAGGTTGTGTCTTAGTGCCAGCACAGTTATGGTAGGGGGGGGGGGTGGGACCACAGTTATGGTGGGGCGGGTTTTACCACCCTGCCATAGTAACCAAAATAGCCTCAACAGGTTAAGCTCTCATGCGTTGTAATGTGTCAGGGGGGTTCCACCACAGCTCTTTCATAATTTTGATTTCTGTCCGCTGGAGTTGAATAAATAAAACCACCTCATCAGCAGCAAGAGTTTCTTGGCCCTAGCAGGTGCTCCTGAGTGTTATGGTAAGTTATGGTGATAAGTCAGCTACAGTTTAAGTTGTGCTGCTTGTAGACTGGCTGGTGTCAGTGCTTCTTGACAAGTAGAGGACTCCTGTAATTGGGTGCCCAATCTGTTGGCACCCTTTGTGTCTGAGGTGCCCGTGAGCCCCAGCATGACAGAATGACTTTGAAACTTCTCCTTTGAGCCTTCATTAACACTGCTGTCCTGCTCCTGCTGCTCTTTGCAGGTGCTTCTGAGCCTAACAGTGGCAGGAATCATAGGGAGGCATAGCTGAAGATAACCTCAGGTCACTGTAAATATCTTGCTGTTCATGGGACTTCTTCAGACCAGTGTGATTCCAGCACACGCTTTTGTGTGTAGAGGCTGATGCATGCAAAAAACCTTTGGATCTCAGTGGGAATATTGTGTGCAGAGTCTCTGAATCATAGGTCCCCATCCCACAATGAGCCAAGATTGAAAATGTTGAATTTTAGCAAAATCAACACCGCTGTGTTGCACAAAATAGAACCTCCCTTCCTGGATTCCTCCTGTTTGTAACAAAGACCCTGCAGCTTACATTAGCCAGACAGTTTGGAGTTGGTTTGCTTTAATTAGATTTCAGATCTGAGCAAACATGAGCAGGGAAAATGATATGTGTGGGTGGGGCATTTTTTAGTTCAGTGTTGCTTGGTGATCCTCATCCAAAAAGAGACCTTGGGAGTTCAGGCTGCATTTTAACTGCAGAAGTGGTAAGATAAGATGGAAGCAACCTGCCCCTGGAGCTACATCTTCCAAATTTGAGCCTTAAAGAAGTAAGAGTCTGTGCTGGGATCAAGGTGGTCCTGGGTGAGATGGGCACAGGGGACCTGGCCCTGGTCTAAATTACATACTGAAGACCAGAAGTGAACAAGGCCAGCTGGGCTGGGGGCAGCAAGGGCAGCAAAAATCCCAGAGCATCTTGGCATGAGGAGCAGTAGGTAGTGTAGAGCTGGTTTGGCATGGCATGGCTGGCAGGTGTGCTGTTCCCTGAAGCAGAGTCAGGCCTTTGTGATCTGTATGTGAAATAAATGCCAGGTTACAGCTTTGCAAAGGGGACAGTGTGCAAGAAGAGGCAGCCCACAGGTTAGCAGTGCACACATGCACAGAAGATGCAGACCTGGGAAGCTGCCTTTGCCTGGGAAGGTGCAGAAGGGGGGTAGGTTTGCTAACTGGAATATTCTTTGAACATTGAAGTGGCTTCAGAAGTGTTTGAGGATGACAATGGCAGCAGCTTCGTATCTGAAGATTCAGAAACTCAGTCGGTGTCCAGCTTCAGCTCTGGTCCTACGAGTCCCAGCGAGGTGCCCACTCAGTTTCCTCCTGCAACGCGACCTGGAAGCCTGAATCTGCCCAGCCCCGTCTCCCTTTCTGAATTTGGGATGATCTTTCCTGTCCTCGGCCCCCGAAGCGAATGCAGTGGGGCATCTTCCCCTGAGTGCGAAGCTGATAGAGGTATGCACAGCTGGATATGCTCTGGGCCAATGATTTTCAGCTTTATAAGGGGAGCAGGAAAACCTTCTCCGCTTCCCTAAGCATATCGCCAGCTCAGTGAGCTCTGAGCAGCTGGCTGCTTTCTTGGGGAAGGCAGTTCCTGAAAGCCCTGCATCCCATAGTTAACAGTGGCATCTCAAATGTTGTAATTATTCTTCTCTTGGCTGGGAAGCTTCCCCGGTTCTGTCTTGGTGGAGAGGTTTGAGATGTCCCACAAAATAAGTCATCAGTGAGATTCTGATGGGATGTTTATTTTAAGGAAAATCTGAGTTTTGGGTTTTTTTTCTCTCCTTTCTTTGCAGGGGATAGGGCAGAAGGGGCTGAGAACAAGACAAGTGACAGAGCAAACAAGAATAGGAGCAGCAACAGGAGCAGCTCCAGTGAAGGGCCGGCTCTGGATAACCGAATGAAGCAGCTCTCCCTTCAGTGCATGAAAATCAAAGAGGGAATATGCTCAGGCAGAAAAGCTGCCCAGATTGGCTGAGTCCTCTTTGTGCCCTGTCCTGATTAATGGGAGTATAGATATTTATATATGAACTTCTACGTGTTTGAAGAACATTGTGCCAATAATATATGCCAAATCTTAAGCGTTTACTCTGAGAATTTAAAGCTGCACTAAGTCTAATTGATGTGGAGGGCTGAAGTTTTTTATTCAGTAAATCCTCTGTAGGCCGGATGCGTTATCAAATGTTTAAGGTGTACTCCTGTTTCACAGACTTTGTAACTTGTTTTGTAGCAGCCGGCTGAAGCAATAACTAGTAATGTTCCCGTGGAAATTCATGCCAATAGCGGGTTTGAAATTCAAGCCAGACATTTGCAGAGCAGTTTGGCTTCAGTTTTGTAGAATGAAACGCTCTTTAGATACGGTGGATCTCTTAAGTGGTATATTCTTTAAACATCTGTATTTGTCTGTATTATGCTGAAACTGTAGAAATATTTTGTATACAGAAGAGTTGTTGCATGTGTGGGGTCTAAAAGCCTTCGCTTTTCCCTTGGTGCTCACAGAAGGGATGAAGACGAGTCATGCTGATAAAAACTGGTGCTGAGGGACAGACGATGGTAACACTCAGCAGTGGTAGGCCCTTTCAGACCTTCTTCCCAAGTCTGGCTTGGACTCCAAGGGTGATTCCAGAGACCAAAAAGAGTTGGTTGCCCTTCCCCTCCCCTGAGAAGTGAAGTATTATTTTTCAGCACTTTAAGTGTTTTGGGGTTCTTCTTCCTCCAAAATGGGAGTCATAGATGTTTTCAAGACAGTTTTGGTAAGGGATTCACCCTTGGAATGTGCATGAAGACAAGGAATTGTCAGTGTCATTGACAATGTGTTCTTAAGCTTCTCTTGTAGGTTGTACCGTGTAGGGTTTTTTAACTGTTAAGGGACTTGGGATTTTAGTATGCCCTAGAGAAATTTGTTCAACAAAACTAGAAAGGGCATGGGTGTGTTTTGCCAGCAGCTGTTAGGCAGTAGTAGTGTCTGATAATTATGCTAGTAAGTGGTAGTAAAAAAATCCTAGGACTCTTCAGTTTTGGTGGCTAAGCATTTCTGAAAGCACCATTTCATCTAAACCATCCATTTCTATCATTAATTTGATGGGAATTTTAGTACTGCCCAAAGTATTTTCTATTCTATGTTTTTGCAGTCATGCTGTATTTCGTCCCTACCACGGCTTGTGTATCTCAAAGTTAATGGAAGATTGTTCACACTACAGTAAACATTTTTGTTTTCCACATTCTGACTCCGTGCAAGCCAACTCTATCTCAAGCACCAAGAACTGAATTTTCTCCTGCAGCAAGTTTATTTCCTGCTGCAGCCTGGTGTCACTCTAGTATTAGAATCCTTCGGAGTACACAGACAACACCTACCTCCTTACAGCTTCCTGAATCCCTGCAAACCTGATGTGCTTTTTATTCCGAATTGCACAAGACCAGAGCTTTAGTCATGTTTTCCAAAATCCTGTAGTGTCCAGGAGAGAGGGAGACATTCTAGTACGTAACACTCTGTACTTAACACTGCTGACATTTCCTGTAAGGCCATGCTGAGCTGGAGGTACAGAGACCTGTTCTCATAAAAATTAGATTCAACACATTACAGCTGTTAAGCTTTAATAGCTTTAATTATTATACATTTACATCTTCTGAAGCCACGAAGGCCGCATTCTTCCCTTGCTAGCATTTCCCAGCCCAGTCACCACTTAGGAAGGAAGTCCATGGTTCCAGCTTCTGATCTGACCATTACCCAGGGAAAAGCTGGGACTGACAGGACTAAATACAAAATGCAAAGCTGTACAGAAATGGCACATTGTATTACATATTTTTACTTAAATTTTTGTAGTTAAGCTGTTGTTTGCTGGAGCTCTTTGTGTTCTGAAGCATGATACGATGGTAGCTGCCTTCAAGGGTATAAAAATAAGCCTCTGGTGTATCAGAGTACATGCGATCACTTCATCCAAAGTGAGAATGTATAAAGCGGAAGTTAACTTAGGAATTCTACTTCTTTGGTATTAATCAAACAATTTAAATGTCCTTTTTGACTAAGTCATAAAGACCTCTACTGTAAGTACACAGACTTTATTCTAATTAGTTGGTTGGTCAAACTTGGCATAGATTGTATGGTCAAGTGTGTAATTATTGTACGAAGTAGTTATGTGAAACCTACATGAGGAAACCAGGGCTGAATCTGACTCATGAGGCAGATGGGGTAGAAGCTGTTGATACCATTCATCCATGGTGCTTTCTCTGAGTCTTTTGAGAACTGATAGATTGAAGTAACCAAGTACTAACCTGTGTCTTCCTGACAAAACAAACTGGGGAGGTATGTGTCTGTGAAGCTGGCTCATCCTGAGCTGTAACAGCAGCATTATGGGGCTTTAAAGTAGGACTCAAAAAAAACCCCAAAACTCTACAACCAAGCCTTTGCAGAGTCTGAGGAGTGTCAGAGCTTGTGTAGAGGCTGTCTCCAGGTACCCCTCAGAGAATTGAAAGTCATTCCTTTGCAGTAGTCTTCCCTTGGTACTTAGTAAATCAAAGTCTAAATCCTCTTAAACCCCCTTAGAGTAAGTGGCTGCTCATTCTGTTGCTCAAGCAGTAGTTCATAACTGCCCAGCATGTGATAAACAACTTGGGAGAGCAGGATGCTTGTTGGTGTATTTTATGAGGCTTTGTATTTGAATGTTTAAAGGCTTGAACTGCAGGTTTACAGGCAGAAAAGACTTAAGGGGCAAGAGGCGCCTGGCTGTCAAACTGGCAGTAACATGACCAGTGTACCTTTGATACAGGCTGAGCTGTTGTGCAGCTATGTAAGTTTTTGCACACACAGGCCTTACACCTTTCTAGAAGTGTTGCTGCGTAACAGGTCCATGCTTGCATCAGCATCTTATAGTCCCTGTCATGTGGATCCAAAAATGGTAAGGGGTATCCAGGAAAGAAAAGCTTAACCTAGATGCTGTGTTAAAAATCTACAGATCAGTTCACTTTCCAGTAACTTTTCCAGATTTATTTGTGGAAAAAATACAAATTATTTGACAAAAAAATATCAAAGCAAATAATAAGTGCTGATATGAACCTTTTTTTCCCCCTAAGAAAAAAAGAGTAAGAAAATTTTCTTATAAAAGTAATTTGCCACAAGCAGAATCTGTATGGACAGAATGTGTATGGACACTGATACTAACCTTAAACCCTGTGTGCTTATTGGGGATGAGCCCAATCCACTGCCTGTCCTGTATAGGCAAGAAATGTCATTGGATCCTGCTGGGGACAGGAGCCTTTGTCCTTAAGAAAGTGAGTACATTCCTTGCTTTTACTTTAGCACATCATGAAAACTGAGCCTTACACTTGTTTGATCCAGCATAAGCTTTGGCACTAGCTTGTGCTCAGAGAGGGGGAAAAAGAAAGAAAAACCCCTTCCCGCAGAGCAGACAGAAGAATGACAACAGATTTTACTGCAGACAAGTCTACCAGCCTGATCTCAAACAGCAGAGGGTATGCAAGAACTCAGTAGTGAAAGCTAGCAGTTCTGGCAAAACCTTTTGTCCTGTCAAATACATTCTCAGTTGAGACTTCATAACTCTAACTTCACAGGTGAGAGATATATGCAGGACTCCACTGCCACTCTGGTTTAGCCTAAGCTAAAAACTCAACACAAATATGTAGGGAAAATGGGATCAGAATTAATCTTGAAGGGATGAAGCAGTCCTTGGTGCATACCAGAAGCCAAGGATAACCACAAAGAATCTAACGTGATTTATGCTCTGGTGTGCTCTCTGTTAATTTGCTCAACAATCATCAGAAACTTCCCTGCAAAAGAAGGTAAGTCAAGTCACGCTGTGACAAACCTGTCACAAATTTCCTAGCCCAGATGGTCTCTGCAAGAATTGCAGTCGGAAAGGCAATGTGCATACAAAGGCTTGTGTTTTCAGTGCCCTTGTCAAGATAGACACTCGTTAAACAGCTATCATCTGGTGAAGGAAATGAAACAAAAAGATCTTTTACTCACTGGAGAGGGCTAGTAGCACTGTACTAATACTCCTGTAGTATGTGTGCTCAGTTTCCCAATGACCAAGCGGCACCTGTGCTCTAAGGTAAGATTTAAATGCTGCCTTTCTGCTTAGAAAACCACCAATTAACCTGAATGGCAAAGAACATTTTATGGCTCTTTTAAGAACACCCTCTCCCCCAGCTGTCAAATATAGTAGAATTTTAGTTCTGCCATTTGTAGAAAATAAAAAAATTATGCATTTGAGGAACACTGAAGCAGCAGGGTGCCCAGAGAAGTGGTAAATGCTCCATCCCTGGCAGTGTTCAAGGCCAGGCTGGACAGAGCCTTGAGTGACAAGGTCTAGTGTGTGGCGTCCCCTGGCCACAGCAGGGGGTTGGAAGTGGATAATCTTATGGTCCTTTCCAACCTTAACTATTCTAGAATTCTACGAAAAGCACAAAGAAGCATCTTGTAAAAATACCCTGTTCTGCACTAACTTCACTTCCACTATTTTATTAAAAACTTTACCCCTGCTTCTGATGACAACACTGGCCAAGTGCTCAATTCATTCACTGGTTTCAACTTAAAAGAGGTACCAGAAGATGTCTGGTGTAATAGGAGCAGCAAGTGTATTTCTTGGAGCTGGAGTTTCTTAGGGAGAGAGGTTTAACTGATCATTCCCCTTCAGGCTGAACACTTAGAAAGACAAGAAGAATAAAACATTTATTTACCAAGATGCAGCTGATGGGTAGTTCCCTACTTCCCCACACCAGCAAAGGAGACTGCCTCAGCAGATACAGATACTCTTCTAGTGCACCTGCAGTTGAAAATCCTTCCCGCTTGCTAAGCAAAGGATGTGCTGCACTCTCCATATGCTGCTGCTGCCTAACCTCCTATTTTTACTGCTCAGAAAGCCACAGAATGAAAGTAGGAAAGAAAGTAGGAAGAAAGCCATAGAGTGCCATATGCTGTAATATTATGTACTAAAATAACACAGGTATGAAGTAACAGCTCTCAAGTACACATATCATGAGTGAAGCCATTGCTGGTTTTTAAGCAATAGCTAATGCCATAATCTTCCTTTTTCTTTACTGCAATATACATATCCTGGAGAAGCTGAACATCTTAGTCTGGAATCCTATATGCTCAGCAGCAGTAGTTTACATTTATTTGTGAGAACTAGTTCGATGCTGAAAACATTCAAGATGGCAGCACAAATAGGTAGGAAAAGCTATTTGGTCTTGAGACCAAATAAACAGATACTCAAGAATATTTTTTCTTACATGTTTACTTTCAAGATCTTAAACCCATATACTGTGTAATGTGGGAGAAGAGAATGTCACTGGGAGGTTTTCCTCTTAACTCACTAGACTCTGAAGTGTGGAAAAACTGCGATAAATGGGAGTCTGCCATTTGACTATAAGCACTTAGCCTGTTGAGCAGTGATGCCTCCAATACCATAGCAGCAAATCCCAAAGTTCTCTACAACAGTTAACTGGCAAACCAGCAATTCCATGCTTTTGCCTATAGCTTAGAACGACTTTATTTTCTTTGTATGTGTAGTAAGAGTTATTCACCTGTTCTCAGACTGTGAGACAGATCAAAATCACATCCTGAAACAGTAACGCATAGATCTCTTTCCTCACTGCAGCTGTGATACCTTAAGAGGAGAAGTACTGTTAAAGTCTAAGAAAAAAGGACCCTCTTGTTGAGGCAGGAATGTGGTAGGGATAATGTTGTAAACTCCAGCAAGTATGTTCTCCACTTCCAAGTAGCAAAATCCACACCTATGATAAAAGAAACCACCTGTTAGAACTAAAATCTGAAGTATGTTTCAAACCTCTTAAGACTTCATTAAGGGAGCATTACCTGTAGTCACCACTGCTCTTTTTCTGAAAGCCGTAGGAACCAGGTTCTCCTACTGTTGAGACTGTGATGAGCTCAAAACCAACGCTGTATTGCCTGCAAGCAATGTGACACGACTGTTACTATAGTTATTTGGGTCATCAGCATCACCATGAAGAGGACTATTTATTAAAAACTAGACAGCATGACTGGAAGACATCTAAAAGTACTGTCACATCTGACAGAAATGTTAAGTCAAACTTGCCATGACATGCATGTAGAATTTGGAGGAACACAGGACACATTTCAGGTTCAAAAGTAGAGTACAGGGAAAATGCTTGCTAGAAGTCTGCCTCCGCATTTAAGCAGACTTCAAGTAGTTAAACTTATGGTGACTAAGTCCCTTGCCACGTGGTGCAGATCCTGGGATGTGATCTGATTGCTGCAGAAGAATGAACATCAGTGACCTCAGCAGGATTCTTCATGTTGTACTGTAACTTGGGACAGTTTGTCTACTACCTGTTAACACACGTGACAGGCACCACTGCCCCATCAGACTACCCAAATATGATCTGTAAATGCAGGAGAATACATACAAAACCTGCTTAATTAGTGGAACTGTATAGCCACACACCTTTGCACTCCATTTCATGACAGAAGCTTCCTCAAAGAGGGGAGGATGGATAGAAAAGTGTTGCACTGCACAGCTTTGCAAAAGATAAAACATTTGACTGCCTGGCAGGAGATCGTGCTATTTGGAGGCACTGTATACAGACAGGTTGTTTGAGGTAGATCATTAATTTTGCCAAAGGAATTTGACCTGCTTAGGTCTATGCTACAGAGCACTGACATCCAATACTTCTGGCCTGCTAGCAGCAGAGTAAATGCACTTTCAGAACTGCAGCAACTGACTGAGAGCCTGTAAGAGTTTAGTATCTCACTTATTAGCTCTACTACTAAAGGAATTATGATCAAAATTAAAAAGGAAGAAAAAGTCCTTTGTACCATCTTCCCTTCTGAGCAAGGCCTAGCTCTGCTCAGACCCCAAAACTGAGGAGAAAGGTGGCTCCTGCTTTCCTTGTAGGTCAAGGACTTCCTCAGTGGCAAATGCGCAGGTGTAAATCACATTTAAAAGTACTGATGGTGAAGTCAGACACATAAGCAGTACAAGATCTGAGCCACCTCCTCTACCTTGTTTCAGGATATTCAGGGAGATTCCTACCCTCCCTACAGAGGATACTGACAAAGCTTTTTCTGTAGCATGTGATATTCTCACTGTGTTGATGCACACTTATTGTCTACTGACCTTGGTCCCCGTAGTTCAATTAGTAATGGTCCATTCTTGTCCAGCTGGAATTGATAAATGGGGTTATTTTTGTAGGTGTCTCTGAAATTTCCACATCCTCCAGCACTCTGACTTTTCCACTGTCCATTAACCTGAAAGAGGTCAAAAATACAGAAAATACTTTTTATATGCTGAAGATTTGTATTGCTTATTTACACACACAAACAAGACTAGAGGCTCCTCTCACTTTAGAGGTCACTCACTTTAGTAATCTCTCCTAATTTTTAAAGTGCAAGTGAAAGCCTGTGTTAAGAATTCAGAAACTTTCACTGCAGCTGCTCACCCACCCTCGTCAAAGCCTTAGATCATAGAATCCCAGACTGGTTTGTGTTGGAAAAAACCTTACGATCACCCAGTTCCAACCCTCTGCCACAGGCAGGGACACCTCACACTAGACCAGGTCACTCAAGGCTGTGTCCTACCTGGCCTTGAACACTGCCAGGGATGGAGCATTCACCACTTCCCTGCGCAATCTGTGCCAGGGCCTCAGCACCCTCACAGGGAAGAACTTCTGCCTTAGATCTAACCTGAACTTCCCCTGTTTAAGTTTAAACCCATCACCCCTTGTCTATTGTTACAGTCCCTAAAGAAGAGTCCCTCTCCAGCAGCCTTGGAAATGTACTGAAATTTTTTCAACTTATATTAAGTAAGTAATGAGTGACTGTTTCTGCCTATGACAAACTGCATCTAACAGAAGATTGATATTCCCATCTATCCTGTGACTACTGGACTCTGCAGGCTGTTTTGTTTGCTCACACACTCCTCTTGCACCAAACGAGAAACAACAGCACTACAGGAAGTCCAATGCTACTTGTGTTGTAACCTTTGCTTTTGAAATCGTTGCCTCCAGCCCTGTCCATTCAGCTCCATGCACTCTGATAACCAGCATTACAGGGACAAGATAGCCATAAGGACAGATCCCACAAGGACAAAGAAATACATGAGGAAAAATGCTGCTCAGACTTTGAGAAATGGGCCATCTGTTTGCAAGTTCTTCCTGCTAGTCACTAAACTGAAAGGTTAGACTTGCAAGACATGCCAGGCATACACACAAATTTATAGCCGAGATCTGTTTCTTTTGCTACCTCCCCCTTTCACTCAAACAAGGAGCAACATTTTTTTTCTCTTGTGATTTAATTCCTTTACTCAGTGTCCAAAAGCCTCCAACATGGCAAGTTTGGAAGCAAGGGGAATTTCTCCTCCCACCAGGCTACTACTCAGGAACCTAAACCTGCTGTAGCTTTCCAGGCCTTTTCCACCTCTGCTGCACTCAGGTCTAGGAATCCCCTTAGGGCTTGGTGAGCTCCATAGGCAACCACTCAACTTTAGTATAAGACATCTAACAGAACTTGCTGTTACTGGTAAACTACACATTAGTTATCTCCAAGTTAAGTGTGATGACTGCTAAGCAAAGACCAAATAAGCATTAAGCACAGCCAATTAACTTTTGTATTCAGTCATAAAGGCAGAGCTGGCCTTGGGTAAGTTGAACATACCTTTTATTTGAACAGACATACTATTCAAATAATACATTATTGAATACAATACGATACATTGTATTGCATTCACTACATTACTGAATACAATAAGAAGTTCTATTACTAAACATAACATCTTCAAACAATTAACAGGTTTCCACATACTTTATTTTCTTTTGAAACATCCTACAGCACAAAACAGATGTCCTGCCTCAAACAGGCTGGTCACCTTCAATGAGGTTTTGACTTCCTAAAGTATTTCACCAAACTAGGCCCAGTTCTTAAGAGCTAAAAAGGACAATGGTTTCTGGAGGAACTAAACAAATCACTTTGTCTTCCCAGGAATCTCTCTAGCCACTGAGTGTTCTCCAAAACAGGCTCACTTCAAGGGGCTGTTCCAGAAATAAGTGGTATGAAACACTGTCTGAACTCAAGAGCCTAGCTGCAACCTGACATGCCCCCCCTGACCACACAAAGTAATGTGATCCTTCGCTTCAGGCACAAGTGTCCTAGAAAATGGACTGTTCCACCATGGCTCAAACTAGACTCATTTCCCTCTTCCCACAGAAATCACTGTTTGGACAGGAAACTTCTGCCTCTGGTAGGATAGGGTAGGCATTGTAGGTACTATGCCTCAGGGTAGGCATAGTAGGTACAAAGCTTAAAGTTAACAGCTGCTCCCTTATTCTTTCTGGAGAATAAAATTGCCAATACATGAAGATACATGCAAGTTACTTTATCCTGTGAGCTCTTGGCTATATTTATACTTCAGCCGAAGGTATAACTACAGCTCATGTTGACAGCTGAAATACAAACAGCAGCTGCCCCCAAAACTGCCTGGCCTTCTGACTAGTTTTTCTGCTCTTGCCCTGCTGCTGTACTCTCAGGGAGCATTTCTACATGAAACTCACCATCAGTATATTGCCTTCATCCCATTTGGCACCATGAGTGCTTAGCCCAGTGGTTGCAGACCTTTGAGACGTTCTTGCAAAATTGAGGAACAGTAATATATTGTGATATAACTATTTGTCACAGGCTTGCTACTGGTGCCTTTGGTTTGTCATTACTGGTTTTGTCCCACCATGCTCAGAGTTCTTCCAAGAAAATCATGCAATTCTCTCAAGGGAAGATGAGCACACTTTTACAGTGGTTTTACTCTGCAGTAGTACTAGCACAGTCTGATCCCTGCAGAGTAATTGTGTATTAGGGTACAGGTTGTTATTCTAAAGGTCAGTCTATTCTAGAAGGGCTTTACAGTGCTTCTGCAATGCTGCAGCTGCAACAACACACTGCACTGAAGGTAGAACTTATATACTAAATGCCAGTGGAAGTTAAGCCTCCATCCATCCAGAGTGGTGTGAGCAGTGAGCCAGCCCAAGGACTATTATGTTGGTATGAATTATGCTAACACAGAACAGCTAACTGGCAAATTGTATGCAATTAAGTAGAGGGTTTGTCTTGTGCTAATGATGCTTAGATTAAGCTTTTAAGAAGTGTCATTTGTCAGAAGATGCGCAAAGGTGGCATTTTTGGGCAGTAGTACAAAAATGTATTTTAAAACCTTGTACATCTCAAATATGGAAAAGCCAAACCAGAATTATTATCCAATGACCCATAAAAGAAAATATTTCTTTACCCGTTTGGAAATGGTGTAAGGTGTAGGAATCTTGGAAAAGGTGAACTTGCACATGGAATACACCTGTGTTGTAAAAGAAGCAGCTGGTTACATATTCCTCTCACACTTCTCATATGAAATCATGACAGGTTAAAAAAACAAAAAAAGGCAGGATTGCCTACTCATCATTTTTAGATACTTGTTCACTACATGCCTATATTACCCATCAGACAAGTCTGTCTGAAATTCAAAATCCAGAATAACAAGATTCAGGGACTAATAAGACTTAGTTCTACTTAAAGATCTGCATTTTACTTTTTTCAGTGACAAAAAGAGACATCAAGCACTGAACATCACATGACTCAGAAGGTTAAAAAATCCCCAAATACTGAGTCCAAGGACACAGGAGAAGTTAAAAAACTTTAAATGTTATCTGGGATATAAATTAGCCTTATTTTGGATATATAGAGAGCCAGTGCTTTGCCTGTACAGAGATATACATCTTTTATTCTAGGAAATGAAAGTATTTTCCAGCTAGTTTAGTTACTAAAGTTTCACTGCTCAAAACATACACATTATGTTAACTACAAATGAAGAACATTATGAAACACTTCATCCAGTGGTTCTGCTCCATCACTCACGGCCTTCCTCCTCCCCAGAATAACAGTATCAATCCAGAAGTACACTTTTTTACCAAACTTACAAATAAAAGACACTTTACAGTTTAGTTTTTAATATTCATTATGAAACTAACAGTACATACCCTGATGGTGTAATGGATAGTGTTTTGTTTCTCATACTGGGACACCACTAAGGTAAATGTATAGGACCCCGGAGAGGTCAGCTTGATCTTGGTCAGATAATGAGGACTGTTGATCCGAATACCATCAATATATGGAGGAGGATCAGCTGGAAGAGAGAAGGATGAACACTTTTCCCTGATCAAAACATCCCCATTCTGTATCAATGAATTTTGCCAGGAAAGTCTCTCTCTCTCTCATGTGAGCTTGCTGGACGACTGTCTCTTTCAAACACTACCGAACAATTTCTTCTACTATAAAAGTGTGTTTGGTTGCCCACTTAATGTTTTCAGTAAGACACACTGTAAAATAACCATCGCCACATGTCCTAGCAGCATCAGAAGCAAGTTTTGGGCTATACGGAAAAGCAGATGCTTTAACAAGACCAGCTCTTGCAAAAACAGATGATGATTTGCTCAGGTCTCAACAGATGCTTTCTGCAGAAAGACAGCTTGGATTCTAGTGGAACTGGTCAGCAGAATACACTGAATAAGATCAGAGATGAATAATGCAACCTTTACCAGCCATTTCAATAGAAAAAAACCCCCACAAATTCCACTCTTTGGTGAAAAGAGCTTTAAAAGCTACTCTTGCATTACCTGTTGCATATGAGCACCTACCTGAATGCAACTATGATTCTAAAGAGGACCCCTATATATAAAAGCAACAGGCCAAACCCTACCTGTCTTTGGATGCACTTTTACTGAATAAATCCAAGGAGTATCTTTTACAGAGATCTCTAACTTGATGTAAATAATAAATAACCCCACACACACACATTATTAGCTCTACCTTAAAGTTGCAATCTATCCATTCAACCTGGGAGTTACCTTTACTTCCTATGTTTCATATCTGCCATCTGTCTCGAAATAAAACACACACAGCTTTTTCACAGCTACAGAGCTCTAAAAGCCAAGACCCTTTTTCTCCAGGTGAGTAGAATCTGACATATAATGACCAAGCATAATACTCTCATAAAATTTGTACAACTTAAACATTCCAGGCCTGATAGTCTGACATACATTGCAGTGTTCAGCTGTACCTCATGAGCTTGCTTAGATACTTCACTAAGCCAAGTTCACATAACAATTAACCTTGATTATCTACATTTAATGGTAGCCATTTCAGAAATGTGGGAAATAATTCTGCTGTCTCTTCCCTCTAAGCATTAACTACTACCACTTCCAACATGTACAGCTTGGTTTATTCCTGCAGTGTAGACTGTTGAAGGTGGTCACACTGACCTAAACAACTGTTTCAGAAGACTGACCTCCTGGAGTAAGGCTTCTAGTTTTAAAGCAAAAAGTGCCTTTTCTTTCCACAAAATCCTTTGCAATTCTTCATTTACTTGTAACAATCTTCTTAGCAATTAGGTACACTAACCTGGATAGTAAACTTTTTTGCCATCAGTCTTGTATACAACCATTGTAATGAATTCCCGATTGTGTGCAAAGTCATCCTATAAAAAACACAAATCAAGGAGATTTGTACTCTTCTGTGGAACATAAGGAATGCTTAATCAGAATCAAGCACACATTCTATCATCCCCCTTTGATCACAACATGGTATGATCTGATATTAGTATTTATTGAGATACCCAATCCAATCTTATTTTAAAATACCTGAACTAAATAAACTGCCACTGATTTCACTTACAACAGTTCAGGCCCCAGGATTCAAAGTTACTTCAGAACCTGTATCGTGGAATATAATCATTTAGCTCAAATTTTAATGGGGGTCTATTTCAACAATCTTGTTTGTAAGTGCATGTGACGGCTAAACTTAAGACTTAGACATATAAACAGACATAAATACCTGAACAAGAAACATAAGCAGTGATACACTAGTAACAGAAAGCTATACGGAAAGGCTTACGGAAGATGCTGCCGAACAATACAGGAAAAGAAGCCGGCACCTTATCTGTGATGTGCCTGCTGAGCAGGACCCAGACGGCAGCTCCACCTTGTGGACACTGAACCTCTAGCTTGTACTGAGGGTTATTAGCCAGGCTGTAGGCATCCTTCACTGGACCTTGCTTGGCATCCCAGGTACTAGAAGTAACACAAACACATGATTAGTCGAGTAAGATATTATCTGGTGCTTTAAAAATCAAATCTCAGAATGGTTTAAGTCGAGGGGACCTTAAATATCACCTAGTTCCACCCCCTGCAGGGACACCTTTCACTAGACCAGGTTGCTCTAAGCCCCATCCAACCTGGCCTTCAACGCTGCCAGGGATCCTACACCTATACAGAGCTATCAATTATCAGTAACACAGTTACTGAAGGTCAATATTCTACTGGACTGTATGACAGTGGCTGCACAGCACAACCACATCAGAACCATTACCTTACAACTTTGTTTATAAATTACTTAGCAATACAGGTGTGATGATAAAAAAAGCTAAATTCAAACAGCTTGGCTGCTCAGTATGGTGACTGCAACCACACAAAGCACAGAAAAAGCCAAACCATTCAGAAGCCTGGGCTACCTGACTGTAGTCATGACTGCATACACTGATACTAAGTGGAAGACACCTGTGCTTTTGTAACTGTAGAAATCCATACATAAGCTATGGTTACTTTCAAAACCTTGCCAAATTTTATTCCTCCAGTTTTTTTAAGGTAATTTTTATTGTAAAATCTCATCTGTTTCCTGTTTGGAAGGGTAACTGCATGAAGTGTTACAGATCTTTGAGGTACCCTATTGCAAAATCTGCCTGCTGCCTTATGAGCTGTCGGGACAAGGAAAATACAGTGTGAAAAAAGAAAAAGTGCTGATGACTGAAAGCAAAGTGTGGCATGCTGGAATCAGAAGTGGATAAAGCTATTCTTAAGTCACACTGGCCCTCCCACACTTTTAAAACTGAACAGCAGGCATAGAAGTCTGCATTATGAACTAAGCTTCAAATTATCACCATCATTACTCTGCTTTTTATGGCAACTGCCACTGTGCTAGGCATTTGCCTACACAGGGGTATGACAATCATAATATAAGGAAAGACAGACTAGTAGATGAGCTCTGAGGTTAGCAAACATGTTACCTCATCTTGCTACACCACCATAATGAATTTTAGAATTAATTTGAGCACAAAGATGGAAGGAGCCTTTGCAGATGAGCTCAGTAGTTACACCACGGATGAAGGAGCTTGTTTAGAGCTAACATATGCAGAAACAGTGTGAAAGCAGAGGCAAAGTACAGTATAGTGGCGCAGAAAAACAGAGAAACCCTTGCTTTCTGAAACTGAGGCACACAAACTGGGGGAAAAAAAGGCTGAATATGATGGATACTAGGTAGGAGACAAGTATCATGTTCAGGAAAAACAAAAATCAGCAGGCAAGGAAGATTACTTATGATAACTGCAACTGAGGAAAAATAGACTCCTGACATCAGTGAACACACCCTGTGAAGACAACACGCACTGCACAACCAACTTACAACTGGCCAAGAAAATGAATTCCAAATAAAAACTAGGTCACTCAAGCACTGTCTGGTCACTTGCTTAAAGAGAGACTGCACAAAAATCGTATTTCAGTCCCACACCTCTTTATGGGACTAGAGGTCAGAATCTGGTTACACAGCCCTAGGTCCACAGCAACATCACAAAGGTCACTGGAGTTTCAAAGATCTTACAGAAGTAGTCAAAAACAAAGCCTGGGCTGAGAGTTCAAAAGTGTAAAGTCCGGCTCAAGAGAGCATGGCTGGAGTTCAACCTCTTCAGCTGTAACTAGGAAGAATGGAAGGAAGGAAACACCACATCAGAACATTTAGTGAAATACTGACACAAAAGTTTTCTTTATTTGACCAACCTGTGAATACATGTAGATTCTTTAAAAAGACTTGGGTTCCAACTCAAATAAATAACATCATAGTGCTGGCACAGGTCCTCCCAGGCAATCCAGAAAATGCCTAAAAAGGAAATGCTGTTACTGTTTCCTTACTAGACACCTTGATTTTACTTGCCTCTTTGCAGGCAAATAAATACAGTTTATATAAACCAACATTTCTGTAAAACTTCGTAGTAACATCTGCATTGCCCAAGTTTCTAAACTTAAACTTACCCCCAAAATAAACATGTTAAACCAAGTTAGTTTCTACTTATCATCAAAGACGTTTTGAAGCTGTCAGGACACTTTTCATTCTCAAGCACTAAGCATACGGTATGAGAGAATCTGCTGTATTGAAAGAGACATCACTAGATGATTCTGACCTTGCCTCCCCCTTTCCTAGGTTTCTAACAAAATTTTAAAAATCATTACATAGCCAAAAAGGTTCCCCCAATTCAACAATTTACTTCAGCAGTCATCCAACACAATCAAGTATTCAATCAACATGTGAGTATGTTTGAATGTACTTCTATGATACTTCATCCAATGCCTACATGACCTGCTTTGGCACCCTGAATCTTCTTTATCTTGATAACACTCTCATGTGTTTAATCTAATTCTCCATAGCACCCCTAATGACAACTCCAGCCAACACCACCACCTGCAAGCTGACAGAATCCTGATGAGATGAGCTCTCAAAAAGGTAACAGCCTTGTAACTCAAGTCTCTGATAGAGGCAGCTGCAGATCTTGCAGCAATTAAAAAACCCAACCCCGGAACAATGAGCTGATCTCCCATAATTGTCACAGAGCCAGGGCTGCTATTCTTATAATTAAATCAAAAGTTTTCCTTATACATTTGTATGAAGTTTAACAATAAATGTTATAATTTAATGCATTTGGATGCATACTGCTATCAAAAATAGAGTGGCGCTGTACAAAAGGGCTCCCTTACAGAGACACACAGACAGCACCCAGGATGCTATAAAAAGAGCAGGTATCTCTGTGAATGTACAAAAGGAGCTTCTGCAGAATTTCTGAACACCTGTCCACCAGCAAACCCAAAACCGATTTTCCAGATGCTACACTCTGCTACTCCCCAGGGAAGATGGGACAGGACAATGCTGGGCATCATTCCAATTGATTTCTCTGGACAGTGACATAGCAGTACCACTGTCTCAACATCAGATCTCAATCTACTATTAAAGCCAGAAATAGAGTGTATATAAAGATTTGGTTATGGATGTATTAATGTAATGCAAGAAAAAAATCCACACCACTTACCTCCATAAACTCAAATACAGGCTAGACTAGTTTAAATACTGGTAATAGGAAGCACTTCGACACATATTTGCAAATTTTGGAGGGAAAAAAAAAAACCAAATCCAAACACGAAAGGTCTATTCATGTATTAAAAAGCAGCATTACACAGCTCATCAGAATGTTATCTTTGCCCTGACCTCCCCATGCCCAGATACTGAGATAGCAACACTTAAGCAAGGAGGTAGTATCTTGTCAATTAATTTGATATATATTAAATAGTCCAGATTACTTAAACCACAGACAAACCTGAAATTACAGATTTAAATACACAAAGACTTGCTAAACTTTGGAGCTATTTAGTTTTACTCTCCCTCTCCTTGTGCTTAAGCATTTCTTTCCATAAAGATCTGTAGTATCTGAAAAGACAGTGACTTTTTAAACCTTATTACCATTGTCGATTTTCTGAGCTGTTCTTGGATCAAAGTTCAAGTATTTTTGTAAATCTGGAGTCCAATTTCTCGTGTCATTTTCACTGTATCGTCCCTTCCAACGTAAGTGGCTCCAGGGATTTTTCAACTGAAGAAACCGAAGTCCCTAAAGAAATAAAATTTCTGGATTCATCTTCTCAAGGTAATTTTTATATTAACACAGAATATGGACTCATCGCTCAAGAAAATACAACATCATTAAGCTTTCTGGAATTTCCCAATGGAGCTCAAGATAAAATAAACTATATCAGCCATTAGAGCAAAAAAATCAGCAGCTATCCATTGCAGACAGTTTTCAAACAGGCATCTGAAAACATCTTCAGTTTTACTTGACACCTTATATTCCCTTATATCCAAGACTGCATACGCATGGGTTGGAACTAAACCCCATTTTTCTCCTTCCTCTTCAGACATCACCCCTGTTGCTGTTGTGATAAGGACATCTCCCTTGTGAAATCTGTTCAAAGAGAGGTGAAAAATAGCTTAATTAAAAATCTTGCAAGTTTCAAACTAACATTTGCCAGATATTGTAATAATAAGTTTTCACATTATTAGTGTGACTCTGCTTTATAAAAACTGGAATACATTTTTTTCTGCCAGCAGAAATCACTCCTGAAAAAGATTGAAAAAGTGAAACTATTTTCTTTCAGTATTTAAGTATAGGCTTTAAATGAAAAATATATTTTCATATAATTTTATCATTTCATATTTTTATAAATAAAAATCAGCATTTATCAATCTGAAGTTCAATCTGTGTCACTTTTAAAGACACTCATCACACATCTTCAGCTGAACACAAATGTGGTTTTATTAACAACTATGTCACACCACCCCTCTCCCCCCACTGGATTCTAAAGGGCCTTCCCAAAACGTGAAGAATGAGAAGTTCATGCTCCTATACTTCCGCAGGTATTTACACTGAAGTTTTTTGTCCCCCAGGACAGGCCTTACAGAGTCTGAACTGTCAACTTACAGCTGAGTCCTGCAACTGTTCTGAATTGCAATTATTAATTTTGCAACAATTATTGTTGTGAAAACACACTAGCACGTTTCCCAGCCCATACTAAAAACCAAGTACATACTCAGCATCCCCGGACAGTTTACAGGGGCACTGGACTAGAGATCGACACATTTTCAATCTAGTACAGGTGAACTATAGTGATGCTATAATGGCCAAACCCCATCCTAACTGCAGTCACACCTCCAAATTGCAGCACCAGAGTATCAGGAAAGCTGTTGGCAATCAACCGAGAGCTGCTAACCAACTGAAAAAGCACTGTAGAGAGAGTCATGCTTTTCTATCATGAATGCAGATGTTTTGGTTAAGAGAATATCCCCCTTCTTCTGCATTGAAACTGGTTGCATAAACCACTTTGGAAGTCAAAGTACTTGCTAGCTGACATTTATAAATTACAGCTATATCTTTCACCATAAGTAGAGTTGTTATGGTAGGTCTGAAGATCAGTACTGCAGTTTTGAAAGACTTCTGCTGCTCCTCCAGGAGATTTACTAATGGGGCATAATAACCAAGGTCTTGTGATACGATTAGAAATACTGTACTATATCTGCTTGCTAAGGACAGCAGATCAATGCCAAAGATCTGGGGAACTGTGTGGGAACACAGAACATCTCTTTCTACTTTTTAAACACTTTTAGCTTGTATGTTGGTTCCAAGCTGCTCTTCTCTGCCTTTATTCTATTTTCTTCATCAAGAAGTGGCTATTTTTTTAATTCATATGTAAAGAAGAAAAATCACCTCAAATAAAATTCCACAATATTTTACTCTTCTGTTCTATCAAAACCACCAGCACCTCAATTCTTCTTCCAGAAAACAATGTGGAGGTCTTATAAAGCACAATTTGTAGCAGTACCAAGATGCTATTAAGGATCTGTGGTGACTGTACTGCTTTTAAAATGGTAACACAGCTACTACACAGCAAGCATTTTAAGTACTTAGGAAATTAAAAACTTCTACCTCTGATGAAGTATTCTGAAAGTACTATCTTTATTGAAAGCTTGGTTGTCAGAGTGCATAGCAATTCTTTCAGGTATCCAACCAGTCAGTGCATGAAGATCAATATTCTGAAATTCAAGCATTCAAAAGAAATCAGAGCAGATGATCCATCTGATCCATCTATAAGCATATGATGCCTGTACACAAGTTATAAAAAAAGCTTTGAAAGGTATCAAGTATACCCAAGTTACAATATAGCTCTGCACATAAAAAGCTCAAGATTAAGACTATATTAAACAAACAAAACCTTATTTGATCAAGTTAGGACAACATCACCAAAAAGCCTCAAAAAAAAAAAAAAAAAAAAAACAAGGAAAAAAGTGAACTAATGAAAAACTGTAATTTCAGAGCAATGGAAGCTTAAGAGAATGATCGACTCTGGTCAATTCTATGATGTGTTCTATTTAATTGATTCAGAGACTTTTTAAAGCACAGCCTCAGAACCTATTTGGAACTTTGCTATTATAGCTGCATTTTAAATTATTTCAGTTTTACTTCTAAGGCTCAGGGTTGGGTTTTTATTCTTTTTGGTAAAGCTGACACTGACATATATTTCTATAAAAAGCCACTTTAATCTCCCCATTTTATCTCCCAGAAATATTGGTTATTCCCTTTTCTTTCACTTCGTACTCCTCAAAGCAAAAGCAGAGACTGTAAGTGCTTGTAGTGTTAATAACCAGCACTAGTGGGTAGGAACTTAAGGAATTACAAGTACACCACAGCCTGAATATACAAGGAAGCTATAACACAGTCGAAAAAGAGGGGCAGGAAGGGTGGAGATTAAATGTCACAAGTCAAGCTGTTCTTCCAGATAATAATCTTACTATTCTCTTTGTTGTCCTATAACTTGCTAACAATAAAATTCTGTCCTCCAAAATAAAGCAGCCTAACACTGACATAAATGTAAAAATGTATGATAAGTTTACCCCTTATACAAAGCCACATTTGTCTCCGCTATCATTTTTCAAAAGGCGATGATTACCTAGTATATCCTCCAAGAATGCCATTATTAAGACACCAACTAGAACGTGAACAGCACCATGAGATAAAAACATACTGTTAAAATTTTAAACAATTTTAAATTAAAATCAGAAATTCTTCCTAAGTAACAAATGAAGATTATGTGGGCTGCCCATTTCAGTAAACCATCCTTTGATAGAATAGCCTGCATGTCATTTTAGCTGCAGCACAATGACTAATTCTTTAATAACCACATTATAGGAACCCAATACATACTTATGTAAAGGAGTGGAAATCTGATAAACAAGCTTGCACAGATCAAAGCACTTGCTCCCTCTACATACACGTACTAAATGACTAGACTCTCCTTTCCTAGCCAACTGCCCTATCTATTGAATGACAGTTTGAAGCCAAAATCAGCAATATTGAAACAGGCATCAAATAATTACTTCACCCAACACTGTCATTTAGATTATATAAATACATATCCTTCCCAACCATAAGCACCAAACAGTACAGCTAAGCATATCTGAGAAAGAAATAAATAGAAAAAAAAACAAACCATAAACTTGCCTCCCCAAGCAATTTACTTTGATTTCACTAGAAGGAGAATTATTTAACCCAAGATTATCTAAGAGGAATTTTTTGCCTCTTAGAAATAATCTAGTACTTACAGAATTTGATCCAGGAAAATCATATCCTCCCATGACCTTCATGTAAGCCTTTTCTATTAATGAGACCCATAATTCATTCTTATTGTTAGAATAAGAGCAGAGAAGTTCCCCACTGTGATCAACAGGTAACTGGTCATCTATGATTACCTGTGGGAAATAAACAAATGAAAAATCATCATAATGCCAATAAGGTATTTTGGAAGTATTTTAAAAAATAAACCCTAACTCTCATGAATATACAGCTTTTCAGACACAACCAGCCCCAACCATCATTCTCACATATGGACACCTCTAACAAGCCTGCAATGGTTTGCCCAAGTGAACAACAAACTCTGCTCCAGGTCTATGGGTGACCTGTGATCACATGCCTTGCCTTCTCCTACGTAAAATGGGGACAATGACAGTACTCTCTTGTAAAGTGTCTAATACCTATTGTAAAAGGTAGCCACGGAAATATTCAGTGTAATTACCAGAATAAAAATCTCCCCCAAACCATTTACCTTTCTAGGTACACCATTGATATGAAGCTTTACCATGTATTTGCCACAGGGATTATATTCTGGTTCTCCTTTCTTATTCTGAGGGTAAATTATACTGTTTAAAAAAAAAAAAAAAAGAAAAGAAAAAAAAAAGAAATCATGACATAAATGCCTTGGCTGTACATACACTGATAACAACAGAAGTGGGATTAACACAGTCTGTTTCTAGAATTTACACTGAACATAAATACGGAAGAGCAGCTTCAATTCAGTAAAAATGACAAAGATGTGCAAATAGGTCTTACTTTTTAGGCCTTGCTCTTGCTGCAGTTCTCTGCTTAATATAGCAATAAAAAGAATGTCAGTAACCTAATTGTTTCTCCATCAGAAGCAAGGCAAACAAATTTCTCTCACTATTAAATATTATTTACACATCTGTAGTATAAATACAGTATTTGCCTGAATGACAAATCCAACATTTGAAGAAGATGACAGCACAGAACTCACTGCTCTCAAAAAGAACACAAGTTCAGTTCTAATAAGTACAGGTTAAACAAAAAAAAAAATATCCAGGAACAGTGTTTATACACTGGTCTGGCAACAGGCTCTTGGCAGTGGTGAAACCCATGTCAAATTTATCAAAGGATGCCAGTTAAGTGGAAATAAGATAGTGTTGTTAACATTAATTCTACGGTGAGATGGTATGCCTGTTGCACAGCAGCTGGCATAGCAAAGTAGGAAAATTTGCATTATATAAAGCATTATAAAGTAAAATTTCTATTAAAACCCAAACAAAATCTTCCAAACTATTTATTACTCCAAGCACATCCGAAGTTAAAGTCCAATGCCTGCATACATATCTGTATAAAGTTGGCCTCCCTCTCAGAAATGCTGAAGCCACAAGTCCCAGGGAGATGAAAGTGAAACAAATGCTGGTTTTTACTGTGTCCAACTTCAACTGTCATATACATTGCAAAAGCTTGGCAGTAGTAAGTCTGAAAAGATCTAAGAAAGCAACAGCTACTTACCTTGTGATCAATTTTTTGTTGTATCTTCTTTCATATGCTGCACTGATAGCTAGTGATGCCACAAAAGAGCAATCTGACACTATTGTCTATAAAGACAAGAAAGCCAGTGAGGACATTTTTTAATAACTTAGATACTGAAAAATAAATGGGATGTGTGGAGGGAAGGAATATCAGTTAGTTATTCTCTTCTGTCCTGGGTTCAATCTTTCAAATGGGAAAGATTTCAACCAAGAGAAGCAAAGCTACTACTAAAAAGACAGGAAACACATCCTTGCTCAAAACGAGGCCCTACAGAGCAAACCAGTTAAAATTATTAATGAGAATCAGAGACAAGTGCAAATACCTCAGCTTTCACTCTCACTTTCTCCCCCCTACCCAAAACACACTGTGTAATATAAACCATATCCAATGGCATATTCTACTGCTGATTCCAGTGTAGCTTGGGCCATCTGCAACTCAACACTAAGCAAGATGCTCCCGTGATTCTCAAAGGGTCACTCTGCTTCCTGTCTAATAAAAACTTTAAAGTCTTGCTCGTTTTTTCCACGCAGTAAATTAAGTAAACAGTTTGCTGCAGAGTACACCTTACCTTTTTTCCTAAGCATTATTTCTGGAAAATAGGATTTTCTGCTGGCATTCAAATTTTGATTTTCACTTCCACTGCTAACACAGCTGTTTATTCTCATGGTTAGAAAATGCGTGGAACATTAAGCGATACTATTTAGTTAATTTCATGAGAACCACGGAAAGCACTCTCACATTTGGGGATTCTTTTTAGGACAAGAAGGTCCTCTGCAATACACTGCTAGGAGCACACTTTTCTCTTTAGGAATAATTTACCTGCTTTATGCTGAAACTTGATACAGTATAAATCATTGTGGGGTTATTTGTTATATCATCTGGTCGCACCCACTTAGCAAACATTGCTTTCTGTTTAGGGGATAATGGTAACTTCCCACATTTATCACTAGATTTAAGAGAAAAAGAGTAGAAATAAGTCAGTATCAGTTTAGAAAAGCTTTTCATGTTATGCCTAGTCTTATATATGTCTGATAGATGGTGCAAAATACATGCAGAACAATTACACAATTTTATATATAGACCTGTCAAACAATTTCAAAGAACACTACTGCCAAGTTTGTGATTTTTTAGAGAGAGAAAGCAAAAATACTCAAACCATGAAATGCAACCCAAGAACTTCCTTCACACAAGACCAAACAGAACTGAATTCCAAAAAGCCATCTACAACAGCAGAAACTCAAATTCTTCACGTTATTTCAGTATGATAAACTAATAATAAAAAGTTTCTTTAGTTCTGAAATATCAAGGCTTGTCTGTTTGACAAGCCGTTAGTGGAAAAAAAACACCCCAAACTAACCCAAACCCAAAAACCAACTCCAAGTGTCTCTGTCTACTATAGCTATGTAATCTTAACATACTATTATTGCTTATTAATGAAGGTCTAACAGTTACATATCACTCTTCCTCAGACCAGTCCTTTTATAGAGGAATTTTCTATCACCTTCATTTTACAGGTAACACAGAGACGGAGCTAAACTCACTAGTAAGCAGCAGAATCAAGAAACTGACCCACGTTGGCAGCACAGCCCAATATTACAAAAAGCCAAACAAAATATTGTCTTTATGGGCTTGAAGATACAACTGCAAAAGCGTTACAGACCTGGAGCAGTTTACATTGAAATTTTACACTCAGACTTGAAGGAAGTGGTTGTATTTAAATATCTCTCCCTGAATTATGCTTAAAAGCCTGTTTAAACAATTTTAAACTCCAGCAAAGAAAACAGAGAAACACCAAGTATGGGAAAGCTTTGGAAATAAAAACAAACCTAAAGTTCAGGAATTGAATCACACTTACGAAAATGGCATAGGGAAGGCAAAACGTTCCCTCAGATCAACGCTCATGAAAGGTACATATTCAATGCCATTAATTTTTGAAGTCCTCCTGTAAGTCATAAGAAAAAAAAGTTACAAACCTGTCTATCATCTTTCAAACACCAAGTTCCAGAAGGTAACAAGAAAATTAGTTTTTAAGAACTAATAAGACACAATGCTTGTAAGAATATCTGTTGAAAATGAAACCACCACAATATTTATTTGGGTTTGAAACCTGCAGTACTTGATGACTCGGTCACTAATCCTGCAAGGACATACCTGTGGACAAGCCACTTTGCCAGGATCAAAATGATCATCAGCCACAAACCTCCTGATACTTTTAGAAGTCACACTTAAAACTACATTTGTCTAAACAAAATTTCTCAAGTCACTTAGGCCTCTCACTAAAGAAAGTCTTAGGGTAAGTTGACAGCAATCAGCAATTAGCAACACTAGATCTGGGGCAACACTAGATTTGAAATACTTTGTCAAACAACAAGAAAAATACTGCACGTTTATTGATATATTTTTTACTAAAATGCACAGAACACCTAAAAAATGAGAATTGTATTTAAACATGAATGAATGTAATTTAAGTTTAAAACAAGGAGTTAACTGAAAAGAGCTATGCAAAATATTTTAAAATCAAATAACAGAATCACAGAATGGTTTGGGCTGGAAAGGACCTTAAGATCATCCAGTTCCAACCCCCTGCCATAGGGAGGGACACCTCACACTAGACCATGTCACCCAAGGCTCTGTCCAACCTGGCCTTGAACACTGACAGGGATGGAGCATTCACCACTTCTTTGGGCAACCTGTGCCAGCAGCTCAGCACCCTCACAGGGAAAAGTTTCTTCGTTATATTTAACCTAAATCTCTCCCATTTCAGTTTGAACCCATCACCCCTTGTCCTGTCGCTACAGCCCCTAACGAAGAGACCCTCTCCAGCAGCCTTGTAGCCCCCTTCAGACACTGGAAGCTGCTCTGAGGTCTCCACGCAGCTTCTCTTCTCCAGGCCGAACAGCCCCAACTTTCTCAGCCTGTCTTCGTATGGGAGGTGCTCCAGCCCTTCTCTAGACCTGCTCCAACAGCTCCATGTCCTTCTTATTCTGAGGACACCAGAACTGATTAAAGACATGAAACAATTTGAAGTTCTCCTGCAAGACTGAGACAACCACCAAAAAAACACTCCCAAAACCCACACAAATCATCTGCAAAGCTGGAAACATTCAGGCACTGCAAAGGAAAGAGGTGAAATTTTAAAAAGGCAATTCTTAATGCTCTGCCTCTTTTCCAGCACACGTGCATTTCTATCTTCATGACTGTATCCTCAGTCCATTTATGTCCCCTAAAGTTAACAAGAAGAAATGTTTTATGATCAAATCCTGGACAGGGTTGAGCATCAGCTCTGTCACAATCTTTTTTACTGCATGAGGAGGAGAACGGAGGTTGAAACACCTATTGACAATGCCCTTTTATTTAAAAACACATTTGATAGTTTTCAAAATTGATGATTAAGGCTAAAGATTTTATGGGTTATTTGTGGCTTATTCCACCTATAATAATCAAAGCAAAAGGAACTGGATGTAATAGAAGTCCTACAGTCCTACAAAATATTATTCTTCCTCAATTTCCAATGAAGTAGTAGTTGTATAATCTATAAAAAACATCATTGTACCTTGGCTTCTCAGAGCCAAATGTTTCATGTATTCAGTCAGGTAAGTTATGTATAACATACAAAAATAAGCCTGGCAGGCAGTTAGAGGAACTTGCCTTCTAAATACAAATTAGAAAGTATGCTCTGTGAACAAAAGCCACTAATTACATCACCATAAAGAATACAACAATTTATTAATGTGTAGGTAATACCAGCAACGGGGTAAGAGGTGGTTTTCCAACCCTCTGTTTATGAGCTCGTGCTTCAGCTGGTTCAATCTACTGTGTAAGATGCACAAAGGATGTGAGCATAAATGACAAAATTTAGAAAAACTTGTCTTCAATTTACCTCAGAACTTCAATCTCCTCTGCAGTGTATCTCTGACCTTGAGGTTCACTAGCTTGCGCTGCTCTGATTGTCTGTGGCTTATCATTTAAAGAAAAATCAGGTCCCAGTGGAAAGAATGTTCTGACTGGATGATTTGGTTTAGCTGCAGTTGACTTCTTCTGAGATGACTTTGACATAGATTCCTTCAGTGCCTCTGCTCTGAAGCAAATAAAAATTTTGTTTACAATGACAGAATGTAGTTATGGTTCAACAACTGATTCGCTTAATTCATGTTCCCACATATGTTAAATGGAATGAACAAATTCCAAGTTGACCACCACCACTTTTCTAAGACAAAAAAACAATTTCTGACACCAGTACTACTATATGTTCCAGAATTAATTAAAATACAGCCTTTCCAACTCATATATAAACTACTTGTGGCAGAACTCACTATATTTTTGTTGCTGTCATGGTTAACTCAGCACCACATGCTGCTCGCTCCCCCCACCCACTTTTCCCCCACAGGCAGGATGGGGAGGAGAATTGAAAGAATGAAAAACCCACAGGTTGAGATAAGAACAGTTTAATGATCGAGTACAGTATAACACTACTAATAGTGATAATAAGGGAAATAACAAGGGGCAAGAACGTAAAACTAAAAGGGAAAAGGGAAAAAGAACAATAAACTCAACTGATGCCCAACACAATTGCTCACCACCCGCCAACTGATACCCAGCCCAACCTGAGCAGTGACTCATCCCTTCCGGGTGACTCCCCCCAGTTTCTATACTGGGCATGACGTGCTGTAGTATGGAATACACCTTTGGATAGTTTGGGTCAAGGGTCCTGTCTCTGCTCCCTCCCAGCTTCTTGTGCCCCTCCTCACTGGCAGAGCATGAGAGACTGCAAAGTCCTTGATCAGGTAAGTGCTACTGAGCAAAAACTAAAACATTGGTGTGTCACCAGCATTATTCTCAGACTAATGCCAAAACCTAGCACTGTACCAGCTACTAGGAAGAAAATTAACTCTATCTCAGCCAAAACCAGGACAGTTGCCTTTAAATTACGTTAATAGAAGAATTGGTGTAAGTGTTGTGAGCTGTCAGATAATGAAATAGGCCACTGAAACACAAAGAGAGAAAACTGATTTGTGTCCCCTTATACCTTCAGGATTTAAATTGTCTAACAGCTACAAAAGCAAATAAAAACCCAGTAGCATTCTCACAACCCAGCATTCCAACAGCTTAAAGGCTGTGCATTCAGAAGCCATGTTTTGCTGTTGTTGCATTAAGCTGCTGGATAGCCATACACATGCAAAAAGTTTGGTTTGTTTCTTAACACACAGAGAAGCGCCAAAAAACAGCTTATTCTGAAATGTAGCCCAACAGAGTCCATTATTCAGCATCATACAGCCAATTTGAAAAGAATTAAGAGTAAACTTACACTCTTTGTTTCAGATATAGACTCTACTTCACTAGATCTATGCACACAATTAGATTGCTATGATCAAGATAAGCATGTCCCAGTTTCCAAACTGTCTTCCTTATGAAGGGATATTGACAACCTGACTTCAGCATTTTTATAAAGGCCAATAACTGCAGTAGAGTACTCTGATTTATATCTCTGCATACTGAAGTAGTGTATTGGTACCAACACAGTCCTTTCGTAATTCTGTATGCCCCAAGATTCCCAGAGAGCTGGCACAAGAGCTGCTGTAGTCAGTGGCAGAGCAGCTGGCAGCTATCTGCACAGAGATCTCTACAGGAGTGAACTCTACTCAGAATCCCTACTTTGCAGTACAGAACAGACATGCTAGATTGAGAACCCAACTCAGAGAGTACACTTAGACCTGACAGCAAGTATGTTCACTAACATTAGCAGTACTCACCTATCCAGTGCTTGTCGAGCCAGCTGTTTCAGTTTGGACTGGAGGCCTGCTTCTGAAGTTTCAGTAGCCTTAAATACAAAATAAAACAAAAAGCTACACATCCAAAAAACCAGCAGGTTTTATAAGCTCAGTTTGTACAATTCTACACCTACAGACTACAGCAAACTGGTGATTTTTTTCCAATTCTCTTTTGAGATGAGTGAATGTGTTGGAGTTTGGGTTTTTTTTATATCTTAGTATAAAAAGCATACTAAGTGAGCAAATATAATTTTGCTGTTCTAAGTAAGCGTTCCTAGAACAGAAGTGGAATTTAAAATTCTTCAGCATGGGAAACAGTGTACACAACAAAAACTCTCCAGAAGAATCAACCATATTAAAACACCACGAGCAGAAAGAAGACAAAAACAAATGTTACCTATACTACTGAGCTTAAATGTGTTCCAATTCTTTTCCCCAAGTGTTAAAAATAATCATGGTAACTTAGAAAAACAAAAATTCTGAACATTTACTTTCAAAGAAATGATTTTACTTTAAAATAGAAACAAACAAGACAGATGTGCAAGAACAAGATTTTTAACTTGCAAGCAAAGGCATAAAATAAGCTGAGAGGGCACTAAAATAGGTATCAGAGTCCTAACTTCTCAGTTCGGAGGTCAGCTATGACAGTTTACGCTTTTGTTTTCCTTACAGATGAAGCATGGCTATTGCACCTAAAGAATCTGCAAGAGGCACACCATGAGGTGTGCCTTCTCCCGTAACACCCACAGGCAGGTTTCAAGCTCTAGACTTGTACCTTTACAGATTCTCCTGGGTCAGCTAGGTCAACTGAGGAAACAAAAGGCAAGCTACTTTCACGTCAAGAAACAAAACCAGGAACACCCTTTATAAGCAACTATTTTCACGTTCAATTAAATTACGCTCTAGAGCTCCTGGTTAGAAAAGACTTTGAAAGATGTATGAAGATAAGCAGGAATACCAGTACACTTATCCAGGTGTCAGCCATAGAAGAGGAGGAATGGCTGCTCTCCAAGTACTTCAAGAGTAAGGAAGAAATCTCTCCACCTTAACATACTGAAGAGAAAGACAGAAGTAAAGCTTCAAGACAGCAGAGTTACTTCAGTCTTCTTTCACCCTGGGAAGAAGGTGGTACTTTTTGATCACCCCGAGTCATCTCAGCAAATTAATATGATAGTCAAGATTAAAAGAAACTTCACCAGTATCTCTACTTAATGAAACACTTGATAAAGGCAGTTGTTAATATAATTTCAGACTAACTTCAGTATATGTAAGTAATATTTGCACACACTGACAGAAGAGAAAGAGGAACACAGCAGAGGAAAAACAGTATGCTGCAGCAGTAAATGTTACCTAATAGACGGAAAATGTTCTGCTCCAGCAGCTCAAGTGGAAAAAACTAGAGCAGTTCTAGTCTTCATCCAGTTACACTGTATCACCAGGGTATTTTAGCCTACATAATATCAGTTTACAGAATTCAGAAAGATTTTACTCTAGCATGTAACAAAACTAACACTCCCCTCCCAACAACCCACATATATTTACATTATAAAAAGGGAAAAGAAGAGAAAAAGAAAAACAGACTTGGTGGAGTTACATTATGATGGTGAACTCTTCCTGTAATGAGTTATTTAAGGCAACTGGACTTAAGGGAAAAAAGCAGTACCTGTAATTACATTCTCCATCTTTTCCATAATAGCCAATTGACCCTTACCATTAATTTCAGTGTGAATTAAATTCACACTTAACAGCTTTAATGTTGAGCACTGAGTAATCAAGTAGCATTTTTACTAGTTTTGGCATCAGTAGACTGTAATTTTCTCAGAAACAGTTACAAACAAAAATTCCCCTTAAATTGCTTCCTTTAACGTAGTCAGAAAGCAATACAGCTTACACATCAGCCAGACAACTTCAGTTTTAACTGGTTTAGTTTCTGTTCTAGTGTTGCATTTGCTTCAGAGCAAAAATTAACATGAGAAAAGTTCCAAAATATTTCTAGGTTTTAGTATAATCCATTTCAGGAAAAACATGTAAATGTCAAGTCCCCATAAATTTACAGTGTTGAATAGCAACATAATACAAATACTAGAAGAAACACTAAAAAAAAAAATTAAAAAAAAATACAATCAAACAGTGGGAGAAGGAAAAAAAAAAGGATTAAAAAATTAGGTTTTAGAAATACAGGTACTCCATTTTTAAGCCGCCTTTAAGGGTCAGTCATTTGTGTAAGTGGAAGAATTTCTTACCATCACATAATTCCACCAAGTTAATCTGTAGCTTAACATACTGTTTTCAAACAGAGTTCCACTGCTTCTGTGTACAACTCAATAGCTTCTTCTGCATTGCCTTTATCATCTTCATCAAAAGCCTGTGTAACTAGGAAGTGAGCACGCTCCAAGTCCAACTGTTGTTTTGACTTCAGAGGGTCTGTGTTCTGTGACTGAACTAAATGAAAAAGAAAGTATTTAGCTTTCTACAGCACCAGACATGTAAAAACAGCTACTGGTACTGAAACACTGGCAGTTCTGATCAGATGGGCATTATCTATTTCTTGGCTGAAACGCAAATCTTCCTAAACTTTGCTAAAAACATCTTTGCAAGGACAAGAAAACACCATCACTACCACCCCCTGAAGCACAGATACACTCTCACGGTATTTCACAAGTCAATGTAAATAGAATCTCTTTCATACTATATTAAGGACAAGGATGTTTAATTATGCAAATAGAATCACAGAATAGTTTGGGTTGGAAAGGACCTTAAGATCATCTAGTTTCAACCCCCAAAATATTGTATCATTTGTGAAAATACGTCACCTACAAGTTCCTCCGGTGTCTATCTTTAATATCATTTAATACCTTTATTAATGACCTGAAGGAGAAGATGGAGTGCACCTTCATCAAGCCTGCAGACCACAACAAACTGATTCACTCAAGGACACAGCCACTATTCAAAGGGACACAGACAAGCTAATGTAACAGGCTGACAGGAACCTCAGGAAATTCAACCAGGACAAATGCTATGCCCTATGACTGGAACAGACTAACACCCTGCAGGGTACAGTTCTGCAGAGAGCCAGCAGGGTCCTAGCAGCGATGAACAGCAACCTGGGCTGTGTCAGCAGGAGCACAGCCAGATGTGCGGAAGCATTACCCCTGTACTTGGCACTCAGTAGACTGTATCTGGAATACCACATCCCATCTTGGGTTCCTAAGGATGGTTGGGGCTGTGGGACTTGGCCTTTTGAGAAGAAGCTGAGGGAGCCATGGCTTGTCCAGCCAGGAGGAGAGATGGCTTTGGGGGGACCTAACAGCCACCTGCCAGTAACTGCAAGGTTATCAAGAAAATAGAAAATGGATTCAGGCTTTTCACTGCAGTGCAAAGAAAGGGAATGGGAGTCAGTGGCTATGAATTTAAATAGGGGAGAATTTGAATATCTATATATAGAGAGAGACACAGATATATCACAAAAGACAAGGAAATTAGTATAATGAAAACCAGCACACATCATTGATACATATTTCACAGCACTGAAAGGCTTTCCACTCAATGAATTTAAGCAGAGGTTTGATTAGAAAGCTCCCTACCCACCTGCTGAATGGAGAGCTTGAACTCTTTCCAAGTACTCATTTATTTTTTCTTGAATATTTTCCAAGTTGGACCCTGCCATCCCAGCGTAAATCAAGGCTTGTGCAGCTTCCTGCAGGGAAAAGAATTTGAGACAAAGTTAATGTTTGCTGCCTAGAAAATTACTTTCCATAAACGCAAGACCTACAGGAGCTGTAAATTGGGTGAAAGCAAGCCCCTGCATCTGCAAATAGACTCAATGGCTGCAGGGAAATTCTGCTGGAAATAACAAATTTCAAGTTACAAATGAGATTATGTTCAAGATCTCACACATGGGACAAGCTGCAGTACTATAAAAAAAAAAAACCTTCGGAGGTTCTGTAAGGCCAGATCTTAGGTCTGCCTGTATAGGAATGCATGGAATTAAGAGATTTTAAGTAAAATTTTTCAAGCATGCACTGAAATCAGCTAGGAGAGCTCACAAGCCACAAACTGCCTTTTAATTTTAAAGCTGCAGACTCTACTCAGAAGTTATCTACATTTAATCTGCTAACAATATAAAAACTCTCAAAAAATCAGAAGCATAGAATTTTGGTTTAGAAAGTCTTTTCTTTTAATATTACTCACCTAAAGCTATCACATTTGCAAAGTCTACAAATTTAAAAGCTTCCTAGCTCCTCAAACTTTGTTTTTAAAATATCTGTACGTACACCAAACACTAGATTAGAGCCTACTTCCAGGAGAGAGCATAGGCCTCCAGCTCAGAAGCACAGTATATTATTTGCATTAAGGCTTTTTCCAGACTGTACAAATCTATTAAGAAAAAAGGTCTTCAGTTGCATAAGCTGTCTATCCGTTCACTAAACTTATGAAAAACATACAAGGTTTGTTGGGGTTGTGATAAACAGAGCTGGCAGAGTCCCAGAAGCATATGGAGAACTGAAATCTGTCACTCGCAAAGATACGGATAAAAACTATATTCTGTCCTCATTATTGACATGGAACAATCCCCATGCTTTTGTGGCAGCGCTCATCTTCCCAGCAGCAGTAGAGGAGAGAAGGTGGTCATGTAGCAGGCTGAGTATGTAGGAAGGAAATCAGTAACTAGAGAGCTGCTCCACAAAGCTGGTGCTTGGAGAGGCTGCTCTGAACAGGGCAAGCACAGAGCCATGGTTAGAGGGTTTCTCTTGTGTGCTCTATGACCATTATTTCTGCCAAGCTTAGCAGTTTGCTCCAATACACATCTGCCTAGTTTACCCAAGCTTAAAACTGACCCTGATACAACCTGTGCTTGTTATCAGGGCAATTTTTCATTGACAAGCATCACAGAACCAAGTACTTCACACTCCTTGTCAACATCCATCACATCATATAAAATGTTCACAGCAACAGAAAGGTAGATATAAGTAGTGTTCCATTCATATGTGGCAACTAACTACTATCAAGGTCTAGCATACAACTATTTTTTGCAGGGATAAGAAGCGCACTGTAGATATCTGCTCAAAGGATATATATATATTTATCTGTGACACACCACAAGCACAGATTGACAAAACAGGTGCAGTATTGTAGACAACGTATTGTAGTCAACAACAAGTTGTCTACATATGACACAAAGATCAACTGTTGGATTTTCAAACCAGCGCTGCAAATTCAATGCGCAATTGATGTTGCTTCTGTGATTTCAAGCACAACTGTTTTGCCAGTTTTTAGGACATAAACATAATGAAAACAGTCTTTTATAACTTATGCCTCTCAAGGACTGAAGCAGTTGACCAACTGCCTGCAGAGCCAGCATGCCAACTGTTTCCATTGATAAAATGGACATGCAATTCAGAGTTAGTGTAGCTGTGGCACAATACTCGTGCCAAAACAGAGTAGTAGCATTGAAGGGATCATAAATACTAACTCTGAACTAAGCTAGCTATTGGTCATCAGTCTGCAAGTTGCTAAATGCTGGTCAACAGCGAAACTTAGCAACAGCTTCTACCGGTTTTGCTGCATTTGCTAGCCATAGGAACTCCATTTAGACAGGCCATTTGCTGTTTATCAGCAACAAACTGTAGCATTTCCTGTGCTTCATCCTTACAGTCAGGTTCTTGCAGAATCCTGTTCAACACCAAAGCTTTCCCATGTGCTTAGTAATTGCACCAGAGGGCTCTGAAATGCTCAAAGCAGTTGATAAGAAAGTTGGTGACAGGCCAGAGCTTACTCACACTGTTCAATAAAAGTAACCCCAAAATACCAGGTGACATTTTGTTACTATTCTTGTTTAATCTGAAATTGACAGTGATTCTCCAGGAAACAGCTGGAAAGCCAAACCTACACAGGCTAAATCATCATAAAGAATTCTGCAAATGGAAGAGATTTTCCAAACACCCTAGAGAAGCACACAAGAGTGATTATCTGCCCAAAAAGATGGTTTTCTTCTGAAGAGCATTTCATAATTTTTCCAGATATACTGAGAAATGTACTAAATAAGGTAATAAAGTAATAAAGAAGTACTGCACACAGATATTAAACCATGCATACACAATGTTGTACTATTACAGGTACTACGCTTGGTTTAGGAAAATATATATGCTTTACATATATAAACTTAGCTCAACCTACATTAACAGCCAGGTTAAAAAAAACATTCTCCTCCTCCTATCCTTTCACACTTACACACATAGGCCACCATGATAACAACATTATGCTTTTTATGCTTCAAAGACACGTAGTACTCATGAAGTAAAAGGTCAACTACAGAGTTCTTAGCAAGTTA